CAATTGGACTGAAAAAGAGCTAAAGACACCCAGTACCTGCTTCCCAACTGCTGGATGTTAGAGACAGCATCTTAACACTGATATTTTAATAGATATTTGGAGAGATCATCCATGGAAAGATGAGGTTCTTTGGCAGCAGTCTCACCTGGATACTCACCCCCAACTGCCTGTACCCACCTCCATGCTTCAGCAGCTTGTCTGAAGGGTGCCAAAATGAACCAAGTCAAGGAACTGATGATGAGTTTAAAATAAGAGGAGGGTGGGACACAGAGAGTGAGGAGAGAAAGGTAGGAACCAGAGCTACAGCCTCCAGTCAGGCAATAAATCAATCTGAGATGGAAGAGATTGCAGAGAAGTGTTCTGCAGAGGAGAGACAGCAGCCACTGCTGTTGGGTCCTTCTCAGCAAACTCCCTTCTCATTCCCTAGTCATCATTCTCCCCGAGGTGCAGCAGAACAAAACCAACTCAATTCTTCAGTTTCACAACTGCTTACAGAGCTTCCAGTAAATGAAGTGCAAATTTAACAATTTTCATTCTTAGGAAAGTACAAGAGACCATGAAATTACTTGTAAAATTGTTTACAAAAGCTGCCTCTACAAAAAAGACACTTTTAAAGATGAAAGTTAGGCCTTGCCAAGGTTTATGCTCTTCATCTTGGAGAAAACTAGCTACCAGCACAGCTGAGAGGGAGGGGGGAAGGCCAGGCAAGAGAAGTGTTTCTGAGCTGGCCTGTACCCTACTGGAGCTGTGGTAACGTGTTAGCAGCAGACAGGGAGAACTCTATTTGCTTTCAATCACAACCCCTTTGATGTAGCAGAAGGGAACGTACAGAGTCAGGCTGAGCCACCAGAACAGAGATTCTGAGGCTATATTCCAAGCCAAGTATGATCATCACATGACACTGGGCTCCCTTGATGTCCCACCAGTGAAGCACTCCAAGTCTTTTTAGCTATTATTATTATTTTTATCTTGAAGCCAACGCACAAAGGATGGCCCAGGAACACTGTGTGATCAAAAAAAAAAATCTGAGAACTGCCCTATTACCTCATAGCTCGATTTAAAACCGACCCAGAAGCAGCAAGAAGAAAGAGGTTACTTTGCATTCCAATGACTTTCCCCCAGCGAGGCCGTTGTGGGGCTCCAGAGCCTCAGCTTTTGGTGGCCCTAGTGGCTTGGCTCGCTCGTGGAGCAGCAGAGCCAGGGCTCTCACCAGACCCTGTGTGAAAGTTCTGTTTTCTGGTCTCAATTTAGACTCCATTCACAATGAAGAAAAGACGACCAGTCCTGGATCCTGTTCTTCCCAAAGCATTTCCTCCAAAAGTCTTTAAAAATACCCGTTGTTAATGAGCAGCTTGTGCTTTCACCAGATACAATGCAGGCATGCTTCAACCTGTAGCTACAGCAGCACGGGACTTAAAGCCAAATGGTTCTTTTTTATTTCTCTTAAAATATAACACAGAGATGCTGCCACTGAGAAGGGTTCCATCTGCTTCTTAATAGTAAGGCATTAGTGAAATTTTCTGGAACGTTTCCTTGCTGAAACAGCTGGTGTACACAAAAAAATACTCCTGTTATTTAAAAATAACACCAGAATAGCAATATTGAGAGGCACTGACATCACAAGCAGTAAAATAAGTGATTTCAGAGATAACACAAGATGTGGGATCTCTTGATCTGCACACTCTCCTTCCCCACTTCTGCAGAAGCAGCAAATAGCAAGGGATTTTTACTTCATCTGAAAAGATGAAAATAGCAGAGTCCTGGCATTTGGCTGCTGAAGGGGCCTTTGAAGTCTGTTCTCACTCTTTGAATTAATCCTGTCGATTCCCCTGTTCTCCCTCCTGCCCAAAAAGACATCACTCTGTGGTGCCTCACTGTTTAGGAAACAACACAGAACAAGATTTTTCCCACACAGGCCAATTAAGAAATGTATTTTTTGCTCCATTTGAGATTCATCTTTAACCAAATTCTCCCTGTTCTGGTTTTTAAGGGCATATGTAACAAAAGACATCTTTGCAGCCAACCTCTGCTCTTCCAAAAACATTCTGGAGCTTCTTCCATGTCCAAAAGTGGCAGCTTCCAAGTGCAACACAGAGAAAATGTGCAACCTCAAGCAGCACAAGGAAAAAGTAAATGACTTAAAAACTAAAAAAGACACAAAGTATTATTGAAACTCTTTATTTGAAACTTCAGTGCCTAACCAAAGATGTCCTGCTTTAGCAATCTCCACTGGCTGCTAAGACTTGATAGAAAATTAAATCCATGAATTGAAGAGCTGAGGGGTAAACACCCAGAAAGGAAAAAAGCAGCCTCCTCTGTAAGTGTAAACAGAATTCTTCTTATTTCTTCTTGTTCATTGACAAAATTGTTCAATTCAGGAACTAATTAGAGGTTGAAAAAGGAAGGAAAATTCATAGCAGGAAATGAAGAAATGCAAGAGCTAAGTTCTGCTACTTCTGAAGTGCTTGAAACAGCTATGTCAAACTATATAATGAAATGTTTAACATAGCTGGGAAACATTTCTTGGTTTTCCTCTTGGAGAATACTACAAATTTTTTTGTGCTACTGGTGTGTTTTATTATTGATTACTTCTTTTTAAATGGAAATTGAGATTTATTCATATTAATAACACCTCTCGTTATCTAAAAAGGGCAGGCAGCAATGAGATCAGACAAGCAGACTGCTCTCAAAGTTTAAATAAACACCAACAAATGAGATTTAACCTAAGAAATAATTAGAAAGTGATTAAAAAAAAAAAATAAATCAAGGTTTCCTGCTTGCTGATTTCAATAATTGATAGAAGCATAATTTAAATTGCTTCTAGGCCTTCTGACTGACATCAAGAGCAGCATCCATGAAAGGAATCCACCCTGGGGTGCACGTGTGTAGTTAGGGTGTGACCTGATAACAACTTTACCCTAAATGCACGTTAGAAAAGTCCACTCTGTGACCAGCTCCTGCAGCAGGTGAGAACACAGGATGCAGCATCAGCTCTGTGCTAAAGACCTTCAATAAATACCGTGGTTGAAAGCGTGTGTGATGTGCTCAGGAGGCCAACTGCAAATAAAACAAAACTAGAATCCCTTGCTCCACTGTTTCTAGGGCTCACTTACAAAAAAGGACACACACGTGCTTGAGGAAATCCATCCCCAGCCCACGCAGCATCGTTTACAAAGCAATTAATGCTCCTTAACGTGTCACTGAACAGTGCCACACACCACCCGATCTTCCTGGGGAGATCAAAGACAAGGCCAACCACTAACAGTGACCAAACACTGCTCAAGTGAGAGCCTCCAACACCCCCACACCCAAAAAGTTTCCAGAGCTTCACCTGCTGCCTTCCTCACAGCCCCCTGGAAATGAGCACAGGGAGATGCCACTTCAACTCCTGCCTTTAAAACTGGAAGCAGCTTTTCCTACTGCTAAAGCCTGGAATTGTACCAGTTTAAATGAAATGAGATTTTCAAACCACTGAAAGTTGTTGCAAACCACAACACAGACACAACCTTGACATAAAAACAGCTTTAAAGCTTAACCTAGGCTGGAAGGAGCCTGCCACAAGTCAGCGTGCCTCTAGAAGGAGTTTACTTTGATTTCTTCAACCACCTCAGGCCAGAAATTGGGAAACTGCCATGTGAACAAACCTTTGTGTCTCCAGCACCGAGAGCTCTGGACACCAGATCCCACTGGCCAGAAGACAGAGAGAGCAGCACAGTGGGGTAAGCTGGAGGCTGTATGACACTGCAGATTGAGGCAGTGTAAAATAAAGAGCAAAGTCAAACGCTGACTGCATCAGGTAGCTGTTAGAATTATTTTGTATCTTCAACCTTACTGTAATCCAATACAGTCGAGCATCTAACTCTGGACAAGAATTGCTACACTTGCCTCACAAATTGTGTAAAGTCACCTCAGGAAACTCAGATGCCTCCAAGCAGCCGTGCTGCTCAGCCCCACTATCGTTACACAACACGATTACACTCCTCGTAGTCACTTCAAACTATCCTAAATTTCCTGAAAGTCAAGTGGGAAGGACCAGCTACGATGCACTTCAGCAAAACACACTGTTTTCATTTCAGACCGTCTATGCTCGAAACGCTGACACTCTTCACCATGACAGCACAGCTACAAAGGGTTTGTCAAGCCTCCTTCACCACGTTAAATAATAACTGAACGGTATGCTAATTGACTTCCCTCCAGTGAACTGTCTGCATTCCCTTCCGATTTCCTGTAGCTACAAATATGATAATCAGGAGAACAAAGACTTTAGCACAGCCACTCAGGAATCAGTAAATGAAATCAAGTATGCCCGACTCCAGGAGAAGCCGAGGAAGACCTGCATGCAGCCCAGCTTGTCCCGAGGACCCCGAGAAGATCTTAAAAAAGAAGAGTAAAAAATTGCACATCTGAGTAACGCTCAGAATCTTTTTACTTTCACCGACAATGGAACCACTTAGCAACACAGCCGTTCTTCAACTACCCAATCTACCTTTAATTCCCACTTCCTCCCAAGCCTCTCTGGACAGCAACTTCTGGCACTCCATCAGTCCCCTTTTATCCCAGTTTCTTTTTATAAATCCAAGGTCAGGTTTCCTCTCCCATCTCATGTGATGTGCTGGACTGAAGTTCTGCCAGCGTGGTCGGTCCACTCAACTGCCAAATCCCATCCCGTGCCACAACGCTCCTTTACCAGACTGTTCCACCACCCCACGGTACGCAGCCCTTCCTTCTGGCCATTTTCCTTATGTTTATCGGCGATAAATAAAGAACAGGGAGAAACACCAACTTTCCACAGCGACGCTTAACTGCATCTAGAAAACAAAAAATCCCGCTGCAAGCAAGTCACGGGCGGCTCCGGGTGCTGCAGGGGGGTGCCCGGCTTCACCGCC